CTGGAATCAAGATTGCTGGGAGAAATATCAATAACCTCAGACATGCTAATGACACCACCCTTATGGCAGAAAGTGTAGAAGAACTAAAGAGCCTCTTGATGAAAATGAAAGAGGAGAGTGAAAAAGTTGGCTTAAAGCTCAACATTCAGAAAACTAAGATCATGGCATCTGGTCCCATCACTTCATGGCAACTAGATGAGGAAACAGTGGAAACAGTGGCTGACTTTATTTTGAGGGGCTCCAAAATCCCTGCAGATGGTGATTGCCGACATGAAATTAAAAGACGCTTACTCCTTGGAAGGAAAGTTATGACCAACCTAGACAGTACATTAAAAAGCAGAGACATTACTTTGTCAACAAAGGTCCGTCTTGTCAAGGCTATGGTTTTTCCAATGGTCATGTATGGGTGTGAGCATTGGACTATAAAGAAAGCTGAGCACCGAAGAATTGATGCTTCTGAACTGTGATGTTGGAGAAGACTCTTGAGAGTCCCTTGGACTGCAAGGAGATCCAGCCAGTCCATCCTAAAGATCAGCCCTGGGTGTTCATTGGTAGGACTGATGTTGAAGATGAAACTAAAATACTTTGGCCACCTGATGCGAAGAGCTGATTCATTTGAAAAGACCCTGATACTGAGAAAGATTGAGGGCAGGAGGAGAATGGGAGGACAGAGGATGAGATGGTTGTATGGCATCACCGACTCTATGGGCATGGGTTTGGGTGGACTCCGGGAGTTGGTGATGGACAGGGAGGCCTGGCGTGCTGCGGTTCGTGGGGTCGCAGAGTCGGACACGACTGAGCGACTGAACTGAACACTTTATTTTTTTTTTTCCATTTATTTTTATTAGTTGGAGGCTAATTACTTTACATCATTACAGTAGTTTTTGTCATACATTGAAATGAATTAGCCATGGAGTTACATGTATTCCCCATCCCAGTCCCCCCTCCCACCTCCCTCTCCACCCGATCCCTCTGGGTCTTCCCAGTGCACCAGGCCCGAGCACTTGTCTCATGCACCCAACTTGGGCTGGTGATCTGTTTCACCCTAGATAATATACATGTTTCAATGCTGAGAACTGAACACTTTAAACGCGCATTTTATTGTATATCAGTCACACATTAGTAGAAGTGTAAAGTAGTTCAGGGTTGTGGAAGGGGTCATGAAAGTCACAGGCCCTGAAGCTTCAGCTTTATTGACGTCACTCTCTAGTTTCTCTCTGCTCGTCGTTCGCATTTTTCTGTGAATCCTCTAAATGTGGAATTAAGAGTTGCCAGGTTGCTCCAAAAAGGGTGTGACTTGGGAATGTCGCCTGGTTCTGTGCAGGGGTGTCGATCTTTGAGGAGCGGAGACTGTGGAGACGACCTCCCAATTCTGGTTTCGGGACCCAAAGTGTCTTGAAGACACCGGGGGTCCAATGACAGCATCTGTTATCCAGAAATTCCGCAGTCGGTAAAAGGTTCTTACGTCTTTAAACCGGAAAAGGGTAAAGTGCAGTAGGCCCGCCTACTCGTCTCCGGTGCGCACGCAGCAGCAAAGACGCCATAAAGGCAGAGTACTTCCCCGAAGTTCTCTGCGGCGTGATTTGTCCCGGTCGGCGACTCGTAGAGAACCTTGGACTCCATAACAGCGTAGCTTCTGATTGGCTGCTTGCCGCGCGCTCTGTCTCGTCTGGAGGCTGCGCACCGCGACTCGACCGGTAGTGGCGATGTCCAGCCGGTCCAAGCGGGAGTCTCGCGGTTCCACCCGCGGGAAGCGCGAGTCCGAGTCGCGGAGCAGCTCGGCTCGTGTCAAACGGGAACGAGATCGGGAGCGGGAGCCCGAGGCGCCGAGCTCCCGAGGCAGCCCGGTGCGCGTGAAGCGGGAGGTCGAGCCGGCGAGCGCGCGTGAGGCCCCGGCGCCGGTGGTCCCGGCGGTGCGGGTGAAGCGGGAGCGCGAGGCCGACGAGGACTCGGAACCTGAGCGGGAGGTGCGAGGTGCGCGGGGCCGGGCTCGGGCTCCTCTCTCGCGTTTTTCTTTTTCTCTCCAACCTTCTCTCCCCGCGGGAAAGTCACACTTTACACGCGATCCAACTCGACTGCTTTTTAATGAGGACTTTACTTGTCTTAGTAATCGTAGCTCTAATGTTTCTAGCAACATTAATAATAACGGCAGCTTTTCTTTATCGAGTGCCTAGCTTCGGGGCCAGGCTCGTTGTTTTACAGGTGTTACCTCCTTGAGTTTTTACAAAACACCTGAGAAATGAGTCCTGCTGTAATTCCTTAAATCAGACCATTCAGAGTGGAGAGCCTGAACTCTGGGCATTTGGACTATACTGCCCTGTCACTTGGAGTTGTAGTTGCCAGGAGGTTTGGGTTCTAGTCCGGCCTCTGAGACTGAGTCACTGGTTTGGGAAATGTGGGTTTCATGTGTCTGTCCCTCTTTAAGTCGATGGAAGGAGCCCTGGAACCCATGAGCTTTGAGAGCCCTGTCAGTCCCTTCTGTGACTGTACGCTCTGCTTTCTGCTGGACTCATTCTTTTCCTGGTAATTGCTGGAGATCTTTTGGCCCAGCCTTGGTACTCTGGAGTGCGTACCCTCTTTTCCGACTTGTTGATATCTTACCAGTCACTAGGTAGGTTTCCATCACGTCTGAAGCTTTTCCTGTTTAAGCTCAGTTAATCTTTTCCATATCTGAACTTGGAACTTCTGATTTGAACGTGTTTTCTATATACTTGTTTTCTGGTGAGTTAGCAGGTAAACATATCACTAGGCCACACTGTAGGGGCAGTGTTCTTTGTTCCAGGATTGTTCATTCTCCAAGACTTTATAATTCTGTCTCTGTGCCTGTTTATCTGTATAAGATTATATTCTTGGGGACCTCCCTGCTGGTCCAGTGGCTAAGACTCCACCCTCCCAAAGCAGGTTTGATCCCTGGTCAGGGAACTACATGCCACTAGATCCCACATGCCACAACTAAGAGTTTGCATGTTGCAGTGAAGATCGAAGAGCCTGCATGCCATAACTAAGACTTGGCACATCCAAATAAATAAAATAAATAAAAGATTATACTCTTATATTAACTCTTAAATTTCTTGCTTAAGGTTTTACATTTGACATATATTATACAAAAAGTCTAGGATCACACCTTGCTCATGAAAAGTACTTGATAAATATTCTTTGAATAATCTAATAATTTCAGGGTATTCTTTGGTTTCTTTTACTTATATATTCTGTCAGCCTCAGGTTTCCCTTTCTCTGAAAGAGAAATTGTTTCTTAGATATTTTGCTTAGTTGTAGTCAGGAGATTGTTTTCTCTGGGACATACTAGGATACCAGTTGTGGTTACTGTCTTATTTCTTTTTTTCCTTTATTTTTATTGTGAAATAAATCATAGGTACTAAGATAGACTAAATGTCACGCACATGTATAGTTTAAAGAAGAGTGTGGATATATAGCTTTAAATCTACCACTTGTCAAGGATTGTGAAGGGTCTGACCCTATTTGTGCACTACCAAGTTAGCCTGCCACGGTTTCATGGATGCTGTTGGAAGGCATCGAACTACTGGGCCTCAGACAGCATTCTGCAGCAATAACAGTAGCCAGAATATAGCAATTATCATCATTTCCTGAGTCAGTTCCTGTAGTGCAACATGATGAGAATCCATACACACTGGGAGTGGGCGCACAAGACAATAACTCTGAGCTTAGAGAACCCAAGTCTTCTACAGTGGGCCTTGAACTTGCCTCACCTTTGCTCTGTAAGGACAGATGATCTCTGACTTCCAAGGCTGTACAAACAAACTTCACTATACAAGCATCTTTGGTGAGATAGTCTGGAGGTGGTCGGTACCTCTGGTCACAGTATATGCAGAAACAGGAGAGAGCAATGCAGAATTGCCTCCTGACACTGTTCAGCTTCAGACATGGTGCTTGACTAATACCTTGTTGTTTAGTTGCTCAGTCGTGTCTGACTCCTCGCAGCCCCATGGACTGCCACACACCAGGCTTCCCTGTCCTTCACCATCTCCTGGAGCTTGCTCAAACTTGTGTCCATTGAGTCAGTGATGCTATCCAACCATCTCATTCTCTGTTGCCTCTTTCTCCTCCTGCCCTCAATCTTTCCCAACATTAGGGGTCTTTTCCAGTGATTCGGCTCTTTTTTTTTTTTATTTAATAACTTTTTTGTTTTATTCTGCATTCCACATGTAGCAGTCCTTTGATTTTTCTTCCCTTTCTTATTCCTTCAGCATCTCTGTCAGCACACTCTCTCCCAATAGCAAATGCAATTTGATCCCCATGTGGTGGGCACACAGAGGCCCTCGAAGATCTGACTCTGCAGCATGGGGACCCGAGTCCTTCCTTTCAGCTGTGTGCACGTCTGTCTGTGCTGGGGCTCTGCCTTGGTGAATGCCAAATGTGTAAAGTACCAACTCTGAATAAATACGGGGGGCTGCTTGGTGCCCACAGTTGAGGGTAAAATGGCAGGCTGTGTCTGGCTGGGTTCCCTTACAAAGAAAGTTGTGTTGACCGGCAGTGTCTGCCATGGTGACACCACTAGACCCATGTCTGGAATGGGGATGCTGGGAGAAGAGGCTACACGCCGGCCACAGGATCAGAAAGGGACAAGGTGTGTGTCCCATCGGTGCCTTAGGTGGTGGTTCTGCTTCCCAGGCTGTCTGGCCTCACTGGCCGGGAGGAAGCAGTCTGAAGGCTACGGAGCTCCAAGTGGCTTCTCCAGGCCCCAGGAGAGAACAAGCTCCAAGCCAGAAGGAACTTAGAAGGGCAGGCCATGCAGGGCCCTACAGGGATGTGCACACTCAGGGCTGTGACGACATCAGCTCTTTGTTCTCTGGAGTCAGTTTTATCCACGCAAAGCCAGCTGGCTGGCTGTCAAAGAGTCAGAGGCAATTTGGGGTTAAGAACACTTTTCCATGGCACTTACCCAGAAATAACCTTCATCTCTGGATAAACCTTCCAAACTAAAGAGGTCTCTCTTCTATGCACTACTGAGAAATCAAAACTGAGGAAAAGGACAGTCTTACTTTAATCAAGTTCCAGAATGAGGACACACAGCTTTGAAAAGCACTGTCTCAGCAGAAGACGCAAGGATGTGTGCACAACAACGTTTCTAGAAAATACCAAGGCCCCAAACATAACCGCGACATTGCCTTCTGCTCCTCCTTGATGCCACCTGGTACCCAGGGTGGGCCTGCTACTTGGTCCAGCTGACTTTGGGAATGTCATAGTGCTCTGTGAGCGTGTCCAGGTGTCTGTTGAAGTCCTCTACTCTCTGCTTGTGGGTTTTGGATGCTTTCTTCAGGATCCTTTCCATTTGCCGCTTCTCCTGCATCTTCTCGAATGCCGCTTGGGCCGGTGTCCGCTTGTCCAGTCCGCGCCGCTTCTCCTCCTCGTTCTTTTTGCTCGTTCCCATCGCTTCCAGGAGTTTCGCCTTGTCTTTGTCTTTCTTTTGCTTCTTCCGCTTAGTCACTCCGAGCTCTGCGACGCCTTTCAGCTTCAGGGGCCCCCTTTGAACCTGCTCGTAGGCCTCCATGGCCTCCTGGAAAGTTCGGGATGTAAAACGCCACACTTCCCTTTTGCTAGCCCCCAGTGATTCGGCTCTTTGCATCAGGTGGTCAAAGTATTAGAGCTTCAGCATCAGTCCTTCCAATGAATATTCAGAGTTGATTTCCTTTAGGATTGACTGATTTGGTCTCCTTGCTCTCAAGGGACTCTCAAGAGTCTTCTCTAGCACCACAATTTGAAAGCATTCATTCTTCGGCACTCAGCCTTCTTTATGGTCCAACTCTCACATCTGTACATAACTACTGGAAAAGCATAGCTTTGACTATACAGGCATTTGTCAGCAAGATGATATCTCTCCTTTTTAATATGCTGTCTAGGTTTGTCATAGCTTTTTTTCCAAGGAGCAAGCATCTTTTAATTTCATGCTGCAGTCACCTTCCACAGTGAATTTTGGAACCCAAGAGACTAAAATTTGCCACCGTTTACACTTTCCCTCCATATATTTGCCATGAAATGATGGGACTGGATGGCATGATCTTAGTTTTTTGAATGTTGAGGTTTAAGCCAGTGCCTTAGAAGGTCCAACAGGCCCCTTCCCAGTTGCATCTGCCTTCCTTGCTTGCTGGGGTAATCACTGTTCTGAAGTTTTTCTGTTTCTACTTTTATTGTTTTATAGTTTATATAAATGTAAAACTATAAACTATATATATAAACTATAAACTTTTATAGTTTATATGTATTTACCTCATGTATATTATGAGGTAAATTATAGCTTTACCTCGTATAGATCCCTAAGTAGAACTGTATTTTATTTTGTTTTTATTATAAATGGAATCATACTATATATAGTCTTCTGTTTTGCCCTTTTTTAAAAAAAACTAGTCATATTGTTGAGGTTCATTCACGTAGATGTTCATGACAACAAAGTGTTCTATTGATGATACGTGTGTTTATACTCAGCCCTGTCCAACTCTTTGTGACCCCATGGTCTGTAACCTGCCAGGCTCCTCTGTTCATGGAGTTTTCCAGGCAAGAATCCTGGAACGGGTTGCCATTTCCTCTCTTCCTGACTCAGGGATCAAACCCGATTTCTCCCATTTTTGGTATGTGGTAGGCATTTTGATTGTTTCCAGTTGGATCTCTTTCAAATATTTTAGCTATAAATATTTTTTAGTAAAATATTCTTGATGCACCTGTGCAGAAGTTCTCTAGGGTAGATATAAGTATTAATGGAAGAGAGATTGCTGGGTCAAAGGGTCTGTATATTTTCAGCTTCAGTCTAGCTGCACTATTTTCTAAGAAATTATAAGAGTTTACATTCCCACCAGCAGTCTATGAGCCTTCTCATTGCTCCTCATATTTGCCAACACTTGGAATTGCTTGATTTTGTTTTATTCTCTCTGGTAGGTGTGAAGTGGTATATTATTGTGCAAGGAAATCTGCATTTTCTTAATTACTGGTGAAGCTGAGCATCTTTTCATTTATTTGTGGGCTGTCTTCCTCATTTTCTGTTAGGTTGTCTTTTTTAAAAACCCTTCACCAGATTTCTTTATGTAACTGCAAGCAATTTCTTTGTTGGTTTTATGTGTTTCAAGTATATTGTCTCAGTTTGTAGCCTGGTGGCTCAGACTGTAAAGAGTCCGCCTACAACACAAAAGACCTGGCTTCGATCCCTGGGTTGGGAAGATCCCCTGGAGAAGGGAATGGCAACCCATTCCAGTACTCTTGCCTGGAGAACCCCATGGACGGAGGGCTATAGCCCATGGGGTCGCAAAGAGTTGGATACGAGTGAGCAACTAACACTTTCCCTTTCCGTTAAAGTGGGCATTTTGGGGTGTTTTCAGGCTATTTGTAACAGAACTTGTCCTGATTAGTTTTTCCCATTTTTGTGTTTGTTTGTACTGGTAGTTGACCGTGAGTATGGGTTTCCCATTTTCAGAGCTTTTGATGATTTTCCCTTCAGCAAAGAATGGCCGCGTGGATTCTGAGGACCGGAGGAGCCGCCACTGCCCGTACCTGGATACCATTAACAGGTGGGTAGCACAGGGATGCCTGGGACAGCAGACATACAATGGAATCTTTGTAGAAAATTCTTTGTATTGTATGATATGTTCAGAAACTTTATCTCTTCTAAAGCTTTCTGCCCAGAAAACTGTGCTTCTTGCCAGGTTTTTTAATCTTCCCCCTTTTAAAGTGTCAGAGGGCATGTTGTTTTAGGGTGGCACATGCAGAAAGAGCTTTCAGCTCGTTTTGAATTTGTATGAGGAAATAAAAGGATCAATGGCAATCGCCAATTTAAATTTTTATTGAGCACTCAGTATGTGCTGGGGCTTCCCAGGTGGCTCAGTGGGTAAAGAATCTGCCTCCCAGTGCAAGAGATGCAGGAGACTTGGGTTCAATCCCTGGATTAGGCAGATCTCCTGGAGGAGGAAATGGCAACCCACTCCAATATTCTTGCCTGGGAAGTCACACTGACAGAGGAGCCTGGTAGGCTACGGTCCATGGAGTCGCAGAGTCTGACACCACTGAGCACGAACACACATGATGTGCTATGTACTGCTCTTGGTGCCTGGAATTCAGCAAAGGAAAAACAGACAAAGAAATGTCCTAAAGCAGAGGTGGTCATTTCATCCCAATGCATTCTTTGGTCCCAGATGCATTACAGGTTTTTTCACTTAGGCTCTAGTGTAGCCTTGACTACTAGACTTTTTTTGCAACATTGGAATTGCTCTTTGCAACAGTGAAATTGTCCACTGTGGCAGGCACAAACCACTTGTGGCTGTTGAGCACTTGAAATGTGGCTTGAGGAACTGAATTTTAAATTTTAATTGTTTTACATCAATAGCTGTGTGTGGCTAGTGGTCCCTTTAGTGGACAGTGCAGCTTTCCAGGGGCCATTAGTGATTAATTAGAGTTAATGCTTGAGAAGGAAAACCCTTGCCACCTGTGGATTTAGTAGAGGTAACTTTTTTTTAATCACTTAACTTGCCTGGTACTCACTGTGACTTTGCACTTGAACAGATAGATCTTTTTGTAGGTATTCCCCTAAAATTCTTCAGGCTTCTGACTTTTTTTAATGGACAAAAATAAAATTTTCTTTTATGAAAGGGGTTATTCCCTCTTTTTATGTCCTTCATTTTATGTCTTGTACTTTGGAATGTTGTTGGTGCCCTGCTAATTTAGTCCTACTTGTGGCTTTTCCTCCAGAGAAAGTAATGGGAGATTCTCAACTGGTTGTGGATACTTGAAGAGGGTCATTGTAGAAATACCTTTGCATTACTTTGGGGGTTGGTGAGTTGGGGCACTATATTAAATGTCTAGGTGAAAGTGTTTGTTGCTCAGTTGTGTCTGACTCTTTGCAACCCCATGGACTGTAGCCCACTAGCTTCTCTGTCCATGGAATTCTCCAGGCAAGAGTACTGGAGTGGGTAGCCATTCCCTTCCCCAGGGAATCTTCCCAACCCAGAGATTGAACCCGGGTCTCCTGCACTGCAGGCAGATTCTTTACCATCTGAGCCACCAGGAAAGCCCGAATATCTAAGTAAGGAAGAGTTAACGTTCCCCACAATTTGCATGTGATTGTTGATCTGTTCTTGGAAGGATGCTGCATGACTCTGGGAAGCATGGAGCCAACAGTGCTGCTTTACTCAGGTGCTCACCTGGGCAGCCATCACCATTAACTGTTTCTGTTTTGTTTTCATCCTCTTAGGAGTGTGCTGGACTTTGACTTTGAGAAATTGTGTTCCATCTCCCTCTCGCACATCAATGCATATGCTTGTCTGGTGTGTGGCAAGTATTTTCAAGGTAAATAAATATTTTGCATTGTGTTTTCAGCATTAGCCACAGGTCTGTGGGTTTTTGTTGTTGTTTTTTTAAGAGAGTAAGTTGCTGTTAAGAGTCATGTCTAATAAACCTTATCTTTGTTCCCAGGAAATTGGAATACTCTTAGAAAATCCATAGGAGGTTCTCTGTCGGAATCTGAATACAATCTTTTCTCTGAAAAGGAGAAAGAACTCACCACGTGTGAGACTTTGTGGGAAATCTCAGAAGCTCTAGTTTTATTGTTATTTTTTTAAGGTGGTGGCTTTCTCTGCCTAATGCTGGTTGTCACCAGTGAATGAGGACAGGCGAGGCCACTGATGCCCTGCTGTCTCCAGCCCCACTGCTTCTGGCCTTGTTGCTATTTATTTAACTTTTCTGTTTGGTTGTTTGGCCTGTGAACCGACTGCTGGGGAGAGCTCTGGGATTGGCTGGCCCCTGGTGCTGACCGGCTCTGCTTTTTTTAATCTCTGATATTTTTCTATGCTCTGTCTTTTTCTGAGAATTCTTTTACTGTAAGGAGTTTTTCATTCTGTCCTTTTCTGAAAATTAACTATATCAGTTTATTCAGACCAGGCTAGTGCTATTTGCACAGTATAGTGGAGGATTTAGAAGAAATGTAAAGTACATTCCTTGCTCTTATAAGGATCTTATAAGTAGTCAAGGGTAACACATAAAACAATCAGCAAACTCTCTTAAGACCATAAAGATTACTGCTGGCCCATGTGGCACTGAGTGTAAATAAATAAGGACGATAGGAGTTGAAAAGATCACTGTTAGCTGGAATGTTTGTGTCAAGTTCATGAAGGAGGTGGAGGAGAAACTTGTTCCCTGTATGCAGGATATACAGAGTTTGAATGGGTGAAGGGTGAAATATTCTAGAAAGGAGTGGTAATGTGAACAAAGGTTACATAGATATGGGATTGTCCTGAATGTGGGCAGCTGAAAAATTAGGACTAATGATGATGGAGATACGTACATATGTGTATGTACAAGTATTATTTATAATATATATATGCATATCCCTAGTTTCTTGATAGCACATGAAACTAGCTTGAATACATACACATATACATATTCACACATACATACATACACATATGCACATACTCACAGATACCCACACGTTTTCTGTATTCGTGTATGTGAAATTAGTCCCCCTATGTTTTATGCTGTCTAGAGAATAAAGTGCTATTCTTTCTTGCTAACTTGTATGATGAGAGGAGTTCATGCAGAGATGAATTTTCATGAATGGTGT